GCCCCCTCTGCGCTGCGTAGGAAGCACAAAGGAGCGGGGCAGCAGCGCCTACCACCATCCCGGCACTCTGGGAGGCTGAGGCGGAGCGATCCGAGTGCGGGCCCCGTCCAGGTGACAGCAGCTAAGCGAGACTCCGAATACCTCGTGATGGTTCCGTCGATGTCGGAGATGACGACCTTGTCGTCCCAGTCCCACAAGTAGATGGTGCCCTCACAGCGGCAGGTGCCCTGGTACTGCGTGGTCACGCTGAAGACCACGTCATTGGGGCCGTTCTTCAACTTCAAACTTTTCTGCAAAACACCAACGACGACACACCCACTAGAGGGGAAGTGCACAGGGCAGGACACTTGGCCTCTACACAGTGAGAAAGAAGTTTAAGCTTTAAAAATCACCCTGCCCAGGCCAAGTATGTAGTGTCATGTCTGTCTTCCCAGCACTGAGCGAGGCTGAGGCAGGAACACTGCCAAATTCAAGTTCAACCTGAGCAACTTGGCAACTTAGCAAGACCTAGTCTCAAATCTTAAAAAAGTCTGTAGATGTAGCTCAGTGCAAAGGCCCTGGGTTCAAAGCCCAGTATTAAAAAATAAAAATAAAAAAAGGGTCCGGGCGATGGCTCAGTGGAATAAGCGCTTCCCTGGCAAGTGCAAGGGCCTGAGTTCAATCCCCGGTTCCGCAAAAAAAAAAAATCCTGTGGGCCTCTGTTTCCTATTTCTTGTTCCAGTATGCTAAATCTCTAATTTAGAGTAGGACATGACACTCCATGCCATGCTGTGAAGGGGCTTGGCATGGGGACACAGATTTAAGCCCAGTGTGAAAATACATTTTCTTAACCACATTTTGGTCGGGTTGGGTTAGGCTGTTGGAGGTAGGGTCTCACCATGTAATCCAGCCTGGCCATGAACTCACTACACAACCCAGGCTGGCCTGAACGCACAGCGATCCTCCGGCCTCAGCCTCCTGAGTTCTGGGACTGCAGGCATGTGCCACTGTCTCCACCCATAAGGTCACAGTCCACTAGGCCCCAGGTGTGCAACGCCTGCTGCCCCAGCCCCAGATGGCACCAGGGGGGCCCAGGGCCCAGAGTCTCAGGGCCTAGCAGGACAGGAACATGAGGCTCGAGTTCGTTGAGTGTCCTAAGCTGCTTGCGCTCTTTTCCACTAACCCCATCTGCATTCCATGCTGGGGATGAATAGCAAAGGTTTTGGAGGGTTGAGGTTTTTGCTCACAACTGGTTGTGATTTGAAACAGAATTCAGGTGGAGGAGGAGCCTAATTAGAAGTGGGGATGCACAGGAACGTTCATGCATACCCACGAGTGACACCAGTCAGTAAAGCCCCTGCTGTCTGAGGGTCCCTTGATCCCTGCCCAGCTGATTTACACCAATTTAAGAAATGTGAGCTAACAGATCTCCTCTGTCCTTCCTCTCCCCTGGTGGTGCACACCTGTCATCCCAGCACTTGGGAGGCTGAAGTAGAAGGATCACCATGAGTTCAAAGCCAGCCTGAGGTACACAGTGAGTTCAAGGCCAGCCTGGGCTACATGGTGACACCCTATCTCCAAAAATACACAAAAAAGAGGAGTGTGTGGCCACCAGGGAGTGGGCACCCTGGGTATGAAGGGGTTGGATGGAGAGGGGTCAGGGGAACAAGAGGACCCCACTGGCCTCCCCCAGGACTGTACAGCTCTGCTGGAGCTCACCAGCTGCTCCGACGTGAGCCGCAGTGTCTTCTTGTAGCTGACGCTGGACAAGAGTGGCAGGTGGCCAGTAGGGACCGACTTGGAGGCTGCCTGCTCCTCATCGCTGGAGGATGACTCGTGCTTTATCCTGGAACACACAGGACACAGTCATCACTCGTGAGGACAGGTGAGGGGTCACCTGCACTGCGTCCACAACTCGCTGTGCCGTCCCCTGGGTGCTGGCATCCCAGGGCACTGAGCTTCTCCGGGTACCCACCCAGGACTGCTGCTTCTCTTCACCCACTGTTATCACTCTCTCTTCACTTTGAATTTTTTTGTGGTCCTGGAAACTGAACCCAGGGCCTTCACACTGAGCGCCATCCCCACCCCCTTTACTTTTGGCCAGGATCTGGCTAAGTCAATGAGTTGCCCAAAATGGGCTTGAGCTTGCAATCCTCCTGCCTCAGCCTCCCAGAGCGCGGGGATGACAGGTGTACGGCACCACGCACAGCTGTTTTCCTTAAGATACAGAGGAACACACAGCACCCTGCCTACCACAAACCTCAGGATGAGGCAAGGAAACCCAGAAAGAAAGGGAACCAGGAAACCAGGATAAAGCACGAGTCATCCTCCAGCGATGAGGAGTAGGAGAGACCTCCAGATCACAGGGCTCTCCACTGGCCTCGAGTCTGCCAGGAAAATGACACATTGGACCCAAGACCCTCCATTCCAAGCCTGGCGGATCCTGCACACAATGCTGAGCCAGAAGCACAGAGGTTCCCAACCAGGACAGCTGGATCACAGGGCACAGCCACTGCTCAGCGGGGAGGAGGAGGCTCCTGGCTCCTCATAGACCCAGAAAATGTCTCTGTCCTGGGGGACAGGTGGGAGCAGAAGAGGAGCTGTGTGCGAACAGAGGCTATTGGAACCAGATCAACTCACCTCTGTACAGGGGGATCGTGTGACTGCCAGCTACTGCGATAACGAACTGGACAAAAGCCCACAGATTAGAGCAGCCAAGTTGCTTTGGGACTTGCCAGAGAGGAACTCAGCACCACAGCACCAAGGGCAGTTTGGAACTGGCCAGAGAGAAACTCCACAGCAGTGTACCCAACAGCAGCCAGACCCAAGACAGGCCCAGCTGGAAGCCTTTGAACTTGGCAGACCAGACGCTGTGAGCTGAGGCACACTGCAAAACCCTGACCTATGTGCGTATACTCGAAAGAGAGAGAGAGGTGGCAACAGGTAACTGGGGTGAACTAGTCTGCCTAGTACATCAAGACTCCAGGTACATCAAGAGGAGGTGACCAGATGGAACTTAGGGGAATTAATTTAAA